GACGGGGAATGTAAACAAATTAAATATTGAAGAATTAATTATTATTGAAGACAACGATAAATCTTTGAATGTTTACTTAAGCACGTGTCAGTGTTATATAATTAATGTAAAATCAACAGAGAAAAAAAAATCTTATTCTATTCAACCAAACTTCTAAAAAATAATGGATCCTACACATGGTCCAATTCATATTGATGACCAAATTGAATTAATCGAACCACTATACAAGCCGCCAACAATAAAACAATCTTTAAATGCTGCATTATACTCGTCAAAGCTAAATGTGTTAATGATATTTGTTCCACTCGGATTTTTGGCTCATTATTTTGAATGGAATAGTGCCATAATTTTCATATTAAATTTTCTAGCTTTGATACCACTAGCAAACTTGCTTGGGTTTGTTACTGAAGATATTGCAAACCGATGTGGTCAGGTAGATTTTGTGATTTCCTTATGATGCGCGTTTGATGCGGTTGATTTAGATTTATGTAATTTTATAGGCTACAGGAGGTCTACTAAATGCAACTTTTGGTAATGCCGAAGAATTGATAATTGCCGTTTTAGCATTAATTCGAGGCGAAATTCGTATAGTTCAAGCGTCGATGTTGGGTTCTATAATCTCCAACCTTTTGTTAGTCTTAGGATCATGTTTCATTGCTGGTGGATATAAACATAAAGAACAAGATTTTAATAAAAAAGCTGCTCAAACAAATTCAGGTTTACTGGCAATAGCTTGCATTGGATTGGTTATACCTGCAGCATTTCATTTCGAGGGTAGTGATCAAAAAGTTAGTGTAAATAGAAACGACTTACTGCATGATCAGGTTCTAAACTTGAGCCGTGGAACTGCGTTGGTGTTGTTGGTTATTTATGTGCTTTTTTTGTATTTCCAGGTATTTCAAAAAAGACTTCAACTGTATGTTTATCACGTGACAACTTATCAAAAAAAAATTTTTTATAGTTGAAAACTCATGCTCACTTCTACAATGAAGAAGAATCAGAAGATCCAGAACTGTCTTTTGGAGCATCTATATTTTTACTAGGTTTCATAACAATAATTGTTACTTTTTCTTCTGATTACCTTATCGATTCTATCGAAGGAATCACCGAATTAGGGTTAAGTAAAACTTTTGTTGGGTTAATTTTGTTACCAATCGTTGGTAATGCTGCTGAGGTACGTATACATATATATTTGATTTAAACACATGCGATTGTATTATATATTTAATACGTGTGACGCCAAGTGAAAATTTGGAATAGCGATCTTTAAATAACTCATGATTAGAAATACAACAAACTGAGTTTAAAAAAGTGAAAAATCTAAAAATCACTATTCAGAATTTCACATAGAGTCACACGTACGTACAGTACGTATAAAAATGATTTCTGAGAACTTATGGGCACCACAACGATCGACATACCCATTGTCTAAGACTGTGAAAAGTCCAGTCCGATTCGACTCCAAACGTCAAGTCTTTTATCAGAGTTTGACCTGAATTCAAACTTAGGACTCGACTCGAATCTATACATGTACCTAGTATATTTAAATATAGCAGAAAAAAGTATATTTTTCTGCGATTGTTGAGCTATATTTAAATATACGAGATATATGTCTAAACCGAACTTTAATAAAGAATGGCTTTTGGAGTCAAGTCTGACCGGATATGACTGGACTTTTCACATCATAACCGCTACCAAAGTCCTATAAATTACATGAACATTGTGTTTGTAACCTCTCTGCATATAAAAGCTAAATACATACGATTTTATGGTAATAAATAGCATGCGTCCGCAATTAAAGTAGCAATGAAAAATAAGATGGATCTGGCTATTAGTATTGCTGTTGGTAGCTCAACGGTAAATAGAATTATTCTTTCAATCTTTCAATAATAATATTCCAACCTTATCTCAAAAAGTTAAATTAATCCATAAAATAGCAAATCGCATTGTTTCTTACTCCATTTACAGTAATCCTTGGATGGATTATTGGTCAACCAATGTCATTGCTCTTCCAAACCTTTGAAACTGTAGTTTTGTTCGTTTCGGTCCTGATTACTAATTATCTAATTCAGGTATTTAAAATAAATTTCTTTTCTCAAATATCAAAAATTATTTTAAACTTTTCTAATTTTGAATATAGGATGGAAAATCAAACTGGCTTGCAGGCATATTACTATTTGCCACTTATTTCATTATATCATTAGCATTTTTCTTTTATTCTGACCCAAGCTCTGTTGAAAAAATTATTGGAAGCAAATATTTTTGAGTTTTTTTTTTTTTACTTCAGAGCAAAAAAAAATCGAAAAAATGTATTTACACTTTAAACTGTGACGTCTTTTTGCCTATTCGTGAAGTTTTTTATTATTATTTCAGATGATTATGGTCTAGGCGCAAATTATTTATGTTAGTGCTGAAAATTTTGTCGACCATTACTTATAAATTGGATTGGTTAAATTTTCTTTAAAAGTTTTAAAAAGCTTAAAACTAAATTTATACATAGTTTGTTAGAAATTGTCAATAGCTACTTAAATATACAAATTTTTTTGCAATTGAGCTTTTAAATAAGTTTTTGCAATTTTAAGTTTAATATAAAATATTTGATGTGACTAAGCTGCTCGCATCATGTTCGTATATTTTATAAATTTATTTATTTGATTTTGTTTGGTTATTGAATTTTATTGAGTATTACTGTGTTATTATCCGGAGGATTTTATATGTTTTTGTCAAAATTGATATAAAAGCTACGTTCTGGTTTAAATTATCAGAAACGTAATTTTAAAAATGCCTCTCTACTCCATAAAAGATAATCATATACTTTTCTCGTAATTGGTCAATTAAATAGGTGGATTCAGACTTCATATGCGGGCTTTCACCTGAATGGCTGATATAAATCAGTTGCCGGGTAACTTATTTATACACTTCCGTATTGGTACATATTATTCCTCAAGTGATATTGAAATAGACTCTCATTCTCAAATTACTTTAATACAATTATAGACCAACTTTCTTTGCTACACAGCTGAGAGGTTATATCGTGAAAAGAAAAATTCGAAGCATATACACTTCTTATTTATAATAGGAAATCTAGTCATTTGAAAAAACCGCGCATTTGATTTAATAGAGAACTATTTCATGGTGGGTCTACTATTTTGAGAGGCACTTTTATGGTATGTATATGCTAAATCATATTAGGCCATATATCAAGCATACGCCTTTATCCTTAAACATTCTATAATGATAGCTGCAGAATTAATTATTATTATAATACGTAGCTGATTGATTTTTTTTTATGTTTGATCTTAAGTGTGCTAATAGAATTTTTGGTTTTTTCTTTGCTCATATGCGGTTGCTGATAATTAATCGTACTGATTTGTGTCATGGAACAACTGAAACTTATAGTATTCTTGGATTGAATTGTTTGACCAAATTGCTAAATTAGCTATGTACGATTTGACAAGTCTGTTGAAGTAAAAACGAGTTTCCTTATGTCAAGAAAATGATCTACATCCGATATGGGTATTTTGCCTTGAAAATGATGTTACGGCTAGGGTTGGG